CATTTCTCAACCTCATGACTTAACATTACCCACTTGCCCTTATTTCCAAATGGCTGTGGAAAGTGCTCCCTAATGAATCATTCCTAGGGGTAAAGTCCTAATCTCTTTGTACTTATCCCACTATCCTAATCCTAATTGCACACAACCTGGCCAATCTGCTTCTAGATTCTAGAAGGACATGTTCTATTGTAGTTTGGCTTTAAGGAGTTTAGTTCAATGGAATTTAGGGAAAGGTTCTTGTGTCACATTCTAGGAGGACAAATGAACAGGGCCCAATACCCTAGCTTCCATGTTCCTTGGGGCATACCACATTTCTCTATTGGCCAATGTTAGTGTTAGATTTCAAGGGATCCTCTACAACAATGGTGGAGATGACAGTCTTTAATCAGAAGACTTATCTCCATCTCTGATAGATTAGAGGTCCAGGCACTAAGAGATTATCTCTCCTACCTCTCAGCTTAGCCCACTTATGTCGATGATGTGGCTTGGTGGCCATTCCATCCGCCAGACAACTTTACGGTTAAATCTATCTACACCTTCATCAATAGCACTGGATATTTATTTAGAGGCTATAAATTTATTTGGAAATCTACTACACCCCTCAAAGTGAAAGTTTTCTTTTGGATCCTTAGTAAGAGAAAGCTCAATATATACCAAGGTGAACCTTAGCTATAAAGGCTGAACTGGTGACACTTCCTACTCTTTTTGTAACAAAGAACATGAAAGTGACGACCACCTATTCCACAATTGTTCCTACATCAAATTGGTCTAGGCCTACTTCATACCATTCCTACATATATCTCCTCTCTCTCATGAAATCAGTTTGATTTTGGAATCTAATGGCTCATTTTGGGGGATAAAGAGGATAGACTGTTGTGGGTTGTTTAGTTCTCGTCCATCTGTTGGTGCTTATGGAGCCGCTCGAAACAACCTGATCTTCCATCAGTCAGAGATATCTCCCTATGTGCTAGCATCTAACATCTCTCACTTTGTAATCTTATGGACAAGCAACCTTGCAGCTAAGAGAGCTGCCATCGTTCATAAGGTGATGACTGACATGGGACTATCACAGCTGTTGCTGCCAAAGGACTCCTCATCCCACGACATGACAATGGTTGGGGACAATTTCTGAGGATACAAGCTCTGATAAACTCATTCGTGTAATTATGACTTTATACTTCTGCTTATAGTCTTTTGTTTTTGTTTTTTTTTATGTAAATGGGTCTTGGTGTAAGCTCCAAATTTTGTATACTCTCATACCAATCTTTCTCTTGAATGCTTAGCCTAAGTTCCCCTCTTCATCTCTCCCTTCCTTCGTAATAGGTGACAGCTATAGTACTCTCCCTATTCTTAGGTGGAGATTCTTGGTTTGTGGCACTTAGGCTTGTGTCTTTAAGGTTTAAGATTGGCTTCTTATTTTTTGGATAATCAATGATATATGAACAGGGCATCTCATCCTGTTTCTTTTCGTCAAAAAAAATGAAAATCAAGACTAGATGTAGCATTTGGAGGGATTGCCAAGTAAAATCTATTGTCGTAGCTTCTCCAATTCTCAATTTTTTTCAAAGTAATCCCTCTAATAGTTATTTATATTCTCGAGTGGACATCCTAATTTCTAAATCAGTCAACAATTAGGGGACCTAATAGCATTTTTCACAATTTAAGGGACTACTTGTGAAGTGTGAAAGACTTGAGGGACTAATATGCTGACTCAATCAAGGAACGATTTATTAAAAGAGATTAAGTATCTTCTACTATTGTGAGTGAAAGTTTAATTTATTTTTTGGATCTTCTGCCAAAATTGTTGGTTTCGCCACTAGTGGCAATGATACACTATGAAATTGTTGTTGATTAGCTTTAAAAAAATAATCATAGGTTTTGTCTTTATACAACAAAAAATATCATTATTAAAAGGAGAGCGAGGTTGAATGTTTGGGGGAGAAAAAAAAAGTATTGAAATTTCTTTTCTATTGTTCGTACAAAACTAAGAAACACCCCATTCCTATCAAAGTTTATCATTTTGACACTGAACATGGAATACAAAATTTTCCTAATTATGATATTTTTAAGAACAATAAGAAGTATAAGTAGTACTGTTGCATGCTAGCAATAGAAGTATTTTTTTTTAAAAAGCATACTAATATTTCACATTCCAAGCTCATTCATAAAGAAACATACTTTTTTTACACTCAGAATAAAACACGAATCTTGCTGGGTTTATGACATTTCCAAGGAAAATTTTACAAATTGTATTGTCGCTTTTGAGTAATAGCAATATAGAGAAAAAGATTTCACACTTCAAAAAAAAAAGAATAAAGAATAAAAGGAAAATACTAGGAAATTAATTTTACAAATAAAAGGTAAATAAAAATATGAGTAGCAGTAGTAAGGAAAGAGTACATACTAGGAAACTTATTTTGAGGGTGCGTACGGAAATGCGAAAGCTGTTAAAGGTTCGATATGCAAAAAAAACCCTGAAAAACCTAATCCTTGTGAGGCATTCAGAGAATCGACCCCCTCCGCCCTCCCCCCCCCCAAACTTTCTCTTGCTTCACTCTCTCTCATCATTCCCCTTTGCTTTCTCTCTCTAAGCTTACACAGAGGCCCCTATCTCTCTCCGACGCCGCCGCGCCGCCCGCCGCAGGTTACTCCGTCATCGAAGAGAATCCAAAGTCCCATCTTTTCCCTTTTCTATTTACCGAAGGTTAAATTTTTCTTTCAAAATTTAACTTCTTTTTGTAGCTCAGCGCGAAGATTAAGGTTCGAATACGCCATTGTATGTTTTGCTTTATTTTTTTGTTAGCACCAAGTTTTCATTACGGAATTCTAAGGATAAAGATCAATTGCGTGATTATTCATGGAAGCTGTGTTTATTCGTTTAAATGGCAAATTAGGTTTTCTGTTTATGAAATTAGAGGAAAAAATTAGAGATTGACCAGCAAAGGTTGCAAATTTAGTACCTACATTATCGGCAGAATCAGTGAAATTATTGATTGTACCTAGTCAGTGGCGGAGCCAGGATTTTAATCCTATGGTGTCCTATAGATACATCGGTAATGGTGGAAAATACATCTCTCTCAACATTAGCCACCAAACTATCATTAAGCTGAAAAAATTCGAACCCACGCGCATGATGGATTCCTTGCGAGATTCGAACCCGCGCGCATGCTGGGTTCCTTGAGACCCTTTTCTGCTAAACCATCTATACTTTTGTTATTTTTATATGTGCTCTCTGGTAGATATTCAGTTTTTACTGGTGTCCTGGGAACCCAGAGGCACCCATTCAGCTCCGCCCCTGTACCTAGTACTGGGTGTCATGTTGAAACTGGCAATTTTTACCCACTGATGCTTTCTTTGTACCATTCTAGAACATGTTATTCATCGTTTTGTCACGTTCTATGATCATTTGAGAATCAAATGAGACCGAAAAAGTTTGTTGTGGTTGTGACCCATGATTGGATTTTTGGTTAGAATCATTGACTGAAGAAATCAAATAATTCTACTGATAGTGTCGCTTGATTAAAAGTTATACATGTTTAAGACTAAACCAAAGTTTTCCCAGATTCATAAAAAACCAAAACATTTAACCATGATTGTGAAAGGACACTTGTTTGCCACTTAAACCAAATCAGAATCATGTGTACTTTATAGCAACTTGTTGTATTGAGTTATATAATGTTTGCATTGTCGTGTCTTATTCAAGCTTCTTATGTCATGTCACGTTGCTATATGTCCTTCTACATGTAGCTGTAGTTTTGTATACTAGTAAATAAATTGTGAACAATGAGAGCGTCTAGTAATTTGAATTTATAAAGAAAAAGGGTTTGCATAAAAAGTTTGTATTCAGGATGACAGGTCTTTTAAAATTCTGTACTTAATGCATAATTGCATTGTTGTATTAGTACGATTGGTTATTTTTGGTATATCTTTGAATCATAATTCTGGTTTTTTTTTTCTTTTCTATTTTGGTAGGTCAAGCAAGTAATTTGAGACTCTGCCATTACAGCTTTCCCACTGAAGCCTTTTCTATGATAGGCTTACAGATGCTAAAGGCTTTCTCAAATAGGAATTATATATATGTCATTAGTGTATCTATAATTCACAGCTGTGTATGTAGGCAGTCAATATTCATTGTATAAGGACAAGGTGTCCTTGCCAGCCCACCTGCGGCTTGCTGATTTAAATTTGTTGACGGTGGGGAGAAGTCATAACTCTCTTTGTGCTTGGTAATCCAGTTTCATTGTATACTTAAGGACCACATCAAAATGTCAGAAAGCGAAATGGCAATCATCAAACCAGAGGTGCGTTGGGAATCCCTAAGACCGCTCACACACATATTCGAAATGGGAATCTTTCTTTCTTCTTGACTTTTTGTTTGTTCAATGTTCACTTTGTTTACTTCCCTTATACCTCTTTCTGTGTTTCTCTAACCGCCAACAATACAACAAGGTCTGTTATTTTGAAGGGAATTACAATGCCAGAGTTTTGCTAATTTTTCCATTTTATTAGACTCCTCCAACTTATACATCACTTATTTCTTATGAGTTAATCTGCATCAATTTAACAATGATTACATGATATGTCGAGATATATTGAGTCATATATTTGGGTATTTTCTAACAGGCTATGAAGTCATATATATGGCTCGAGTGTGCCGATGGTTCAATCCAACAAGTAGAGGAGGAGGTTGCTATGTTCTGCCCCATGATATGTCGAGAAATACTTCAAAAGGGCCTGGGTTCTTCCAAGAACTATGCTATTTCTCTTCCAGAAAGGGTCAACCCAGCTATTCTTAGCTTGATCCTCGATTACTGTCGATTTCATCAAATGCCAGGCCGTTCTAACAAGGTTGGTTCTCTTCTTGAATGTAGTGCATTTCTAGTTTTTCAAAGTACTAAAGTTCACAACCGGTCCTTTAGATGCTTTAAGCATCAATTTGTCTAAGGGGCTAGCAATTTTTCTTATAGGGTGAACAGGTTTGAATGCTTAATCAACCAGTTGACTAGCTTGTTGCAGATCATTACATGATTGAAACTAGAGGACAGAGGGTTTACCATTATCTTTGTTTTGTTCAACAGTTTTATATTTACTTTGTGTAGGAGCGGAAGTCCTTTGATGAAAAGTTTGTTAAGGCTGACACCAAAAGGTTATGTGAATTGGCTTCTGCTGCTGATAGTCTCCAATTAAAACCTTTGGTTGATCTCACTAGCAGGGCACTTGCTCGCATGATTGAAGGAAAAACACCTGAGGAGATACGCGAGACATTCCATTTGCCTGATGACCTCACTGAGGTATTTGCTTTATTTCATTTTCTTTTCTGTTCATCCATTGTAGTGTGAATATTGTTCTTATCTCATTGGTCACTTTTCAGGAAGAGAAATTGGAACCATTGAAAAATACCACCGATGATCCACGAATTCGTCTGTTGAATCGACTTTATGCTAAAAAAAGAAAAGAACTAAAGGATAGACAAAAGCTAAAGGTAATAGCTACACCATCTTTGCAGACTATGGTGCAGTAATAATAAGCTAAAGTTTCTTTATAAAATTTTCAGGTTGAAGTTTAGGGTTCTAATTATAAATGTGCCAGCCTTATATTTTGACTTCCTGTTTTAGGATGTTGAAGTTGAAGAAGAGCGAGTAGATGAGCAAGTAGATGAGCGGTCTGTTGATGACCTTTTGTCTTTTATAAATGGAGATGGAGGTATGTCCTCTTTTTATGTACTTAATATATTTGCAGCCCATTATGTTCATTGTTTCTCTTTCTTTCGATAGGCAATTCCTACTGTTAGTGCTTTTGTCCTTCTATGATCAGTGATGAAGGTGATCTACCTTATTCTGTTTCCTTACCTTTGTTGTCCTGATACTTGTTTGTATCTCATGGTGATTTCTACAAAATTTCTAGAATACATGAATCTTTTTTTTTTGGGATAGGTTTAGTTTATTTCTGGATTGCTTTAGTCATGAAGTTTTCTCCTTCATGCTTATTTATAGCATACAATTGATATGAGTGTTAGATGTTAAATTTACCATCTTTTGCGTCAATCTCTGAAACCAAGTTTCATGATAATTCATGGTATTTCATGGATGTTAATTGTTGCATTCGGCTAACATTAAATCATGACATATGGATCCATTCTTAACCTTGGATCCTAAAACTTTGATGTTTATAGAATAATCTCTAACTGAGACGCATGCTCCCTTATTTTCCAAAGAGTGAACACTAAGTTGCTCTTTATTTTGATTTGCACAGATTCTAAAGCTGTTAGAGGTGCAAAAAGTAAAAAAAAGAATAGAAGGAAAAAGGATCAGTTGAAGGATCCATGTAGGAGCACAACAGGCAAAGAATTGTCCAAGAAGGTTTGATTTAATTTTAATTCTTCTGCGCAAGTTTGTTTTTCTAGACGAGTCATTTACTTGATGTGGATATTAAGGTTCAGGAAGCTGTTAGTCTTACAATATGCCACGAAGCTGTTGGCAAGTGCTCTCCTACCCCAAGTAGGAGCTCAGCAAGACTTGAAAGCACAGAGAGCGACTTAGTGTCCAAAGTTGAATTTGATGATGTAGATATTGATGATGAGTTGGATCCTGCAATGAAGGAGGAACTTGACAGGTAAGTGTCCTTGTTTTAATTTGGTTACTGCACACAAGTTACCTTTATTGGTTTTCTTTTCCTTTTATTCCATTCTTTTTGTATTTTACAGGTTTTCGTCTTAAAATTTTGAATAGTTAATAGCTGATCATTGTTATGGTAGCGATATTATAACCATTTAAACTTATAATATTTAATTTTACATGTATATTAAAAATGATAATTCGTAAATCTCCTCAATCCTGACACGAAGGCTACAAATACTATAGTCCGGTAGCATGGCAAAGTGCATAAATTAATCACAATAAAGGCAGCTGAAGACAGGGTGTGCCTAGCATACACCTATCATATGTTTCCTGGAGGCCACTTAAATTGCTAGAGGGCCACATCACTTACTCGAAAGCCACTTATTCAGTGCACTCGATAATATAAGGTAGCCTTTAAACACTTGCCTTCACTAAACAGTGACCATCTTGTTATATATATCTGTGCGTGCGTGTGTGCAACAGAGATATGCTTGCAAGATCAGAACCGCACATAGAATACGGAAATATGCCTTTTGCGCGTGGAGAAAGAGTTACTTTGGAAACTTTAGCTTTTATTTTTATGGTTAAAACCACCCCAGTCCTATTGAGATACGGTTCTGATGGGATACTTGTTCCGTGCAACACTATACAAAGCTAACTGAAACTGAGGGTGAAACTATTGGAACCACAGGAACTAGGTAAAGCAATAAGTAAGATATACATAAGCAGAAAGTAAGTTCTTAAACATTATAATCAAGATAATTGTCTTTTTTACGCTTTCTGCATCAAAGTTGAGGGGGAATGATCAAGGTGAAGTATTCGAGATCAAACTAACCAAATTGCCTCAACAAGTATAGGACAAGCTTGCGGCCTGAATCTCAGCAATCACTTGTTCAGATTCTACATATTGATCATTTTGAACTAAAAGCAAACTTTTTGGTGGAATATCAAACTATGTATAATATCCCAACTCTCAATAGTTACATTTAGAACTTAATATTGATCATCTTGTTCTAAAATCAAACTTTTTGGTGGAATATTCAAACTATGTATTATATCCCAACTGTCAATAGTTACATACAAGTCTATAGAACATAGAAAAGCAGGATGCCCATGAAGAATATTTTTTCTTGCTGTCGGAATAAGAAAAAGTCCAAATCCTATAAACATAGTAACTGGAAGTGGAAGAAGAGGTATTATCCACGCATATTTATATGTATGTTCCATAAAAAAACAAATTTCCATAACCAAGGTCAAACTATGAGCTTCTGCTTTCTTTTGTGTACATAAGGTGGCATAATTTAGTGGCATGCGTCAATCTGTCGTAAAAAATACAAGCTGCTATGGGCTAAACTAGCAAGAACATGGTTGTCACTGTAGACTTGTATTTGTATTGGACCTATTATGCTTGTGCAGCAAAAGACTTGTTATCCTTTCACCTTATTAAGGCGTTCCTCTTATTTATTTTGCTTTTCTCATACATCAAGTTATATATATCTTTGTTTGCATCCCAGTTATGTCATTTTGACAGCTGCTATGCAAATAAACTCCTGACGTGAGTATAATGACCCATTGCATCTTAATCTAGCTTGCCTCATCCATTTTATAAATTATTACAGAGAAGTGGAAGATTTTGCACGGAGACTGAATTCTGATTGGCCTGAAAGAATGCAAGAAATCCTATCTCTAGGCCAGGATAGAAGACTTGTTCCGAATTTGCTGAATGGGAATAGTTCCCTTAGAAGATACACAGGTTTGCATTCTCTGTCAATATCGTCTTCTCTGTATTTAATTGATGTAAGCTTTTTCCGTATTCTATCATATAAACTTATGAACTAGATAATCACTGAGGTGCAGGTGTTGGCCATAGATGAGCATGCAGGCATATATAAGACCAATTGAAGCTGATCCATTCTTTTGAATGGTAGGTGAACCTTGTCTCTGTTGAGAGAGTGTAGACTGCCATTGACAAAATGTGGTGTACATGAAACGGCCATTGGCATGTATTTTCAGTTTTTTTAAATTATTTATGCAATTTTATGTCAATATGTTTGTAATTGTGCAACTTTAGGGAGGACTTGCCAGTGTTTATGTAAAACTCTCCAGATGCACGAGCCCTCTGCATGCAATATTTGCATGAGGGTCGGCTCTGTCTTCCAGACTCCAGCCGTTGCTGAAGTTAATGTCATGATGTTCGCAATTTAAATAATCAACAAAATAGAAATACTTGGGTGTCGGCAATGTGCATTAAGTTTCTACCGGGAACAGCAACTGTTCAGCTGCTAGAAGTGGCATGGACCTGGTTGCATTCTTGGATTCTTGTGCTTTATAGAATGGAGTATTTAATCCACTTCTGCTTTTCTTTCATCCTCTTTGTGCTTCTGTTGAGGTTCTGGGTCTCGTATTCAAGTGATGAATTGAGCGCTTCATTTTTGAGAATATGATCATGTATCTTTTGAAAATTATTTGTTTTCAACAGTCAGATTTGCTTTCTACGAAATTCTGCTGAGATCGAGCGAGCTTTCACCCTTCAACTTGGTAAGCTAAAGCTGAAGGCATTATATCTATGCATAGCAAATTTCTGATGAGTAATTTGGTGGTATTTTCGATCGTAAAGATTTGATTAGATTATCACTTTTTGAGGGATCATAATTTCTGGCAGCGGTTAAGAGGTTCAGGTGAGGGATGTCTTCATGGAAAAGTTTGATGCTGCTGTTGTTTCGTGGAAGGAGGTGGGTAAATATGAAGAAGGGAGCAAAATAAAATCTCATTCAAACCTTTTTTAAGTTACATAATCTCAAATTTCTCCTTTTCTTTTTTCAGTTCAAAATATCAGGATGCGTGCGATAACAGAAACTTATGCTTTTAGGACGCGCAAGGCAACAAGAACAAAGTCTAAACTCGTACTAAATTGTACATAAATAAGATACGATTTGTAGTTTCTTTCCAGAGATGGAATAATCTTCCATCATATGCTACTGAGAAAATAGTGAACAGGGCAGCGAGTCAGAACCATTGCAGTCACAAACTTCAATCTCAGGCACCAACGTATTGATAAAGCATCATGTTCCTTTGATCCTTTCACCGGACAAAATTTCAAGAAAGCTTTTCACTATGCGAATGGGATCACAAAAGAGTTTATCGTCTTCGGTTTCCATTTCCAGTAACTGATTCAATGTGTTCATTCCTTTAGCTCAGAATTTACAATGCCTTAACACCTTTAGTACTTTATACATACAACAAATAACTGATCGTTTAGTGTGGTATACAAGGAGGGGGGGAAAAGACTAGAGGCCTATTCTGGGGTAAGCTTGACATGCGGGCAAATTCTCTCGGGCTCTCCCTTCTCCCAAATATTTCTAAGTTCGCCTCTTTTTCTTCCCAGTGCCGATAGCGTGCCTGCACAAAGTTAGAAAAGTGATTACCAAGGAATAACAAGAGCAAGAAAATTGATCGCAGTAAAGAAGATCATCCACAGGCAAAATGGAGCTCCACAATGATAATACTAATTTATAGATTAGATTTGCAGAGCTCGGTTGGATGAAACTCACCTAGGGTGAAGGGAACAATGTATAGAAGAGCTGGTTGACCATGTCCATCCATCAAATTAAGAGCCACATATGTTATTAGTAGACCTGCAAAAAAATAAATATAAAGACATTATCATGCAACTTCTGAATTTCCTATAACTTGGTATTGAAATGTAATGTAGTTGGGAGTCATCTAGGAAATAGATTCGGTACAATTACACATGGTGTACAGGATTATGACACAATCTGTCTCGGTAAAAATGGGCTGGAGATGGGTAAGAAGTTGGCTTGACAAATCTTACAAGTGATTAGAAAAAAGAAGTTTAATTGAAAAAAAAAAACAAGCGACTATTATCTAGTAGCAGCATCAATCAGCCATCTTGCCTTTTGTTTCATTTATCCTGTGCTTCGTGGTGCTACAACTAAACATGGCAAGCATGTTAAGATATGTTCATAAATAGATCGTCCATCAACCTCACAAGACTGTTCAGTATATATCATGTCTTCTCTACTTGTACTGTACTTGTCAATTATCAATAACTTCATAAACTTACCGAAACCATAGGCCACCATAGTCCACAGGAAGTAACCTGCCCTCAAATTCTTATTTGCAGCCCAATCATACCTACAAACAGAAACAGAAACAGAAACTCCATGCATTCAGAAAGATATGTAGAAGAACAATCAGCAAAGATGTATGTATTTAACTGACAACAGATACATTCATCCTCAGTACCTAGGAAATAAATACTAATAGAAAACAGCCAGATAAAAAAAAGCACATTTTAACAGTAAGAATTGATGCAAAGGGGTGTATCGGTAAACCACATAAACTGAGAAATAAATTTGATCTGGCACCTGGAATTAATTGGTAAATAAGATATTAATATCATTACCGCAGCAGTGACAAAAGAAAAACACAAGGAGAGAAAAAGGGGAAAAGGGCAGGGTGAACTTAATAACATGAAAACATGCAGCAATCTCCATGCCAGATCAATCATGCAACAACCTAAGTATCTGGCTTTTGAATAAATAAATAGCTACAATCCAAAAGGAATTATTGGAAGAGAGAATTCTGTTAAAGGACAATAGTAAGCCAAAGAATTCTTCCACTTTCACTCAAATTATGCAAAAAGTAATAGAGATGAGGCAAAGCTTATTCTGCCTCACTTCATGGACTTTAAGTAAACTTACATATTGAGGTTTGATTAGATTAAGTATTGGAATGCAGTAGTAGTTTGTGAAGCACTGTATACTGCATGAGATTTGGACTTTAACTATGATTGTTTGACATACTATTTAAACTTGGGAAGAGGGTGGATAACATATGTGACAGAATTCTTCTTCAAACAAAATTCCCCTTCTAAGATCATTGGAAGGTGTCAAAAGATAAGCTTTATATCAACAGAAATTGAGATATTACAGTTCATCAGCTTTCAGGAACCTCATCCGACTTTTGTACCTAGAGGTTGAGATATTTTCTCCGTATTAAAGTATCAAAATTTACTAAATTGAATTTTATTGTCAAGTGATGTGTCTTATTAAAGTAAGAACAAGAAAGAACCATTCCATTAGTTACTTGTATGAAAACAGAAAACATAAGATAAACAGCTGATGTATCTCTTGCTTTGCACTCACTTAGTGGACGATATCTTTCTCTACCATCTGAAAGAAAAGAATCAGAAAATATTGTGCAATAAAATTCTGAGTTAATTGTAGATAACCCCTTGTACTCTTGCCCAATTGCTGATAGACCCTCTACAGTTCTACTATTGCAGATAGACAGTGCAAAAGAGTCAAAAAGTTTTCACCAAGGGTTCTATCTACAGCAATAGAACTACAGGGCATCTATCTGCAATTGAGCGATAGTAATCCAGAACTAAACCTAAAATTTTAGAGAGACACAGAGATTGATCGACTAATAGACCTCCTGTGTGCAAAAGAATCAAAAAGTTTTCACTAAGGGTTCTATCCACAGCAATAGAACTACAGAGCATCAGGGCATCTATCTGCAATCAAGTGATAGTACAAGGGTCTATCCGAAATTAACCCTAGCATTTTAGACAAACTAGACAAGCTCCATTCCAAAAGTAGATGATTAAAACTGAAAATGCTTTAAAAAGACTGAATCTGAACCTCAATGCAAATGCCACTAGCAGTCCTGGAAGAAGAATGTCACCAAAACCAATGACACTATATCCACCCCATGGATCAAACATGCGTGGTATCTTAAGTAACATAGGCACACCGTCCTCGCCACTTCTGTCACCCCGTGCAACCTGCCAAGTATGAAGAACATGTAAACATTATTTGACATATTAATGTATTATCGGTCACCTGGAAATAATACCTTAGTCAATGCACAATTAAAAGTAAATTACTTACCACAATCATTACGCTTTCATGGAACAAACTTTTTGACGCAAACACCCAAAATATGTCATACAAGAAGGCGCAACCTAGGAGCACAGTACCAACCTGGTTTCATAAAGGAAGTAGTGTAAACATCTGTAATAGATGAAGCATAATACAATGCAGTATTCAATTAAAATTCTGGATTGAAGTTCCGTAAATGCTCTATTAAAGCTTAATTGCTATCATAAAATTGGTTTTATAATGACAACGACTTTTGCAGCACAAAAAAAAGACAAAAACTGAATTAACAAATCAAGTCTTTGTTGTGTTTGACGTTGGAAGTTACTAAAGAAAATTTATAAACATTACAATCTGCAACTATGACAGAGTTACTTGTGCAATATTTTCCTTTGATTTTGATTCTTGATGATATAGTCAAGAATCACCCAAGAAAATTCCTAATGACAAATTTGATTTTGGAATGGGACTCCATTTAACTCCATCTTACTGTGCCTCTGAGAAGAAAGGTGACTCCCTACAACAGCTTCCATCATCTTTTCCCTTTGCCTACTATCAACCGGCTGTAACAGGTGTATGCATAACTTTTTTTTGTCTATAGTTTCTTTGCCAGAAACTTGGCAACAACTTGTCGACAATATTTTAGAAAGTGCAAATAGTTCAAGAAAAAAATTCAAAGTTGCAAATATGGGAATGTAACCGTTTACTTATGAAGTAAATATGTAGAAGTGGAGATACACTACCCAAATTGACTATGCTGATCAGAAGAGGATCTAAGTGAAAAGATTTTTCATACACATACAAGCACAAGTGTTATTGCTTGCAGTTCATGTCAATGTGGATAAGCACAAAGATAACTTGAAAGTAAACTATCAAAGAAGGACGATAAGCTTTTACCTTCAGATTAGGTATGCGCACAATCTGAATAACCGTTATTATCAATGCAATGCCCTGAATAAAATGGCATGCCATTAGAAAGGAAACAATCAAACCCAAATATAGCAGTCAAAGAGAGACAATGCATTGTCTGCAATTTTAAAAAATTATATGTGCATGTAAAATCCTATTTTTTGAAGTTTCAAATGAGGTTGTCTTATATGATTATGATACAAAAGTCTACAAACTTCCAAAGTTTTTTTTTAGATCATGAATCACTGAGCAGTAAAAATTTGAAACAGAAGTAACAGCAGAAAGTTTTGTTCTTTCTGAAATGAACATGCAATGAAAAAAAAATCAATCCCATCACATGTTTAGAAATCCAATGCATCTCGTCATGAAAAACAACATGTTTCTTAGAAATAATGGACTAATATAAAATTGTGATGCAAGCATGGATCTTTGTCTCTTCCCCCACACTTGCACTAACATAATAGCATACAAATACGTACATGTATTAGCAAGCTTATGGATCTTTCATCTCTTGCACTTACATATTAGCATTTAACTCTGTACACATATAAGCAAGACTAAGGATCTTTCGTCTCTTCCCCTACTTTCGCACTGACATATTAGCAATATTATGCATACTTTATATAATTGCATTATGGAAGGGAAACAAGAAGTTTCACACACCGAAAAAAATATCGCTAGTACAAATTTAAAGAGTACGCTCAAATATTTCTCTACAATTTTCACTTCCATAGTGCAAGAATATGGACATGCCAACAAGGACATAAATATTCCAACATGGATGAAACACACAAACTTGCAGAGTGTGCGTGTAGGGCAGGCCCGTATGACACAGATGCCCTCATGATAATGCTTCACGTAGAAGTGCCTTTGCTATAGAGACGACAACGCAAAAGAATTTGTTAAAAAAAAGGTGCTGACTCTAACCAAATGAACAGAAAGACCATATCTCACTATTCAATCTCTACTAACAGCAAAGTAATGTGCAAACAAAAGAGGAGCAAACGGATGAAAGTAAGACAACTTATATATGCCAGGATGCTTCTTTTTACCAGATAAAACCGACATAAAATAATGCTTATCATGCATAAAGTGCTCTTACAAGGATATCTTGCCCAATCCAGGCAAAATGTCGCTGGCGGTAAACAGCCCAAATGACAGAAAATGTGATACAGAAGGGAGAAACAGCCAGTGTAAGGTAGGAAACTGGACCAAACAAAGGTACTTTGATGAATGTTTCTCCAGAATGTTTAAACCACCTGGACCTGAAAAATCGTGAAAGCAAACTATTTACCTAAAAGCGTTATAGTTTCGGGTGAATTACATCATGAAGTGCTTCACCACGATAAGAAAAGATTAGGTAAATCAAATAAAGTCGGACATAATAGCAAGTACTAAAAATAGCATAGACAATTAATCGAGCATTTCACTAAAATCTGAAAGCAAAATATTTCATCCTATATTTAATGCATAAACTCCAGCACAGGTACTCTAACTGGAAACTCATAGATGACACCTAGAATAATTAAAATTTGGAGCCAAACACTAAATTTGTGCATAATGAAGAAGCAATAGATATAGATGGTTACATAACAGGTAAAACAGCCAACAACAGTTCCCCGAATGGCCCATGCATATAGGAATTAGGAACGCGATGAACCTTAGGTGCTGATAAACATAAATGATATCTGACATCACATGCAACCATATAATGCCTTAACATTCAACAAAATCATCTCCAATATATATTTCTTTAAGAAGAATAAAATGGTAAACAATCAGAAGAGCGTTTTAAGTTCTAACAATGGACAAGCAGCTAGCCAGAAAATATTATGTCCACCATGGAGCATCATTTCCTTTTTATGTGAAAAAGAGATTTATTATCCTCGTTCGTTATGTTGAGAAAGTGGATTTATGCCAGATAGACAGTCAGATTTTATTTTAAGAAAGCAAGTAAAAGATAATTACATAATTTTCCAATATGAGATTGAAGCAACGTTCTCCAACTTTCTGAATATACTAACTACTCTAGTGGCTTTCTCAAGTTGGAGCTTATATTATCCATCATACCCTTGACCACCCGAACAGACAAAAGAAGTGAAATCATTCTCAGGCTGCAGAAAGTGGTCTCGGGTTCAATCTTCAGAAACTTCATCAAAAATAATATTAGTCGAATCCTTGCAGAAGAAATTGGTTAGACAGAAGTACCCCATTTCAGTTTTCTTTTGCACCAAGAAAACATGCAGAGATTCCTCTCACAATAGATTTCTGACCGGGCTACCTTTCATATTCTAACTGGATCTTCAAGAAAGTGGTGGCTGTTCAGCCAACTGAAATAGGTTCAGTTCATAGAATTTCAGTTCCACAGTGGGTTACAAAAACAGATGCATCTATTTTTATCTTCAACCTCATCAAGAAAAGCAAATTGCTTATCATTATATATTCAATGATTACTGTTAGAATTAATATAAAACTATAATCATTGATCCTCACCATAACTCCTGAGTTTTGGTGTAATGGTTAGAGGAACTAAATTTGAGTTGGTATCAGAGCAACCCAGGTTCAAATCCCACCGGTCACGAATTAAATGCGGATTTTCTAAAAATTGACACCGCTACGTGAGTCCAGGTTTCGACCCATAAAAAAGGACGCTCGACCTGTGGGGGCATGTTAGAATTAATATAAAACTATAATCCTTGATCCTCACCATAACTCCAGAGTTTTGGTGTAATGGTTAGAGGAACTAAATTTAAGAATTACAATGTGGACTGAAACCATAATAGTCAACTTGAACTTACCCATATTGTCCAATAAAACTTTAAGCATTTATCCTCTTAGAACACAGACATAGCTATACTCTATAAGCTCTCCAAGCTAAACTGGTACAAATCAAGCTCCATCACTTGATGTAAGCCACCTACAATTTCAGATGATATTTCATGGTTTTCAGTAATGCTCTTCCCATTTTCTGTTATCGACTTTCGACGAATCTTTAACAGTCAGTTCAAAGATTGTTCATCAAATTTTCTGCACACGTTTGTCTTTATATTTGCACCTGCCTTGAGACGGAAGTTTCTTTTTAGAACGTAAACACCATTTCATTGGTTAATGTTTTAGTTCATGCATGAATAATATTTGTCTCTTTGATACTACCTCTCTCCAATTTCCTATTTTAATTTTCAACGTAATATCCTCATTTAGCCTGATAATCACAAACACTTGAACATGAACAAATAGACTTGCATCAAATGCTTAAGATACAAGAGTCCTGATATATGTTGCAAAGTAATAGCTAGTTCTCATCTAATTCAAACATACCAAACTTCTTAGAAATTTAAGGGGAGATTACAAGAAAGATGAGAAACAATGCAGCCAAAACAATGACTACAAGAAAAGTTGTAAATTCGTCCCCAAGTTAGTCTATCCCCAAAGTAAAATAGAATATTCTTCCATCATGTTTTGCCATCAAAAGGTGTCTTATAAAACGAGCAAAATTGACCCGCACGGTGCCGCAACATGTGCGAAGAAGTCAAAAAATAATTGTTAAGTAAATCGTTTAGAAAAATGTTTTTTAATTAGTGGATAAAAATATTTTTGGGAGCTGTAATACACCTAAATTATTTATTTTCAAATAAACCCTCAACTCATTGAATTTGTCATCAGATCTCACGATTCTCGTAATCATTTCAAGTTAATGACTCCAATTATTACTTCTACTCTTTATTAAAGGGACTCATTTCAAAATAATTTACGATCTGAAGGGTCCAGTAGTAATTTTAATAATTTGAGGGGTCAACTCTAAATGAGTTAAGAATCGATTGAGCATGATAGCACATTTCATGATTTAAGATATTTGTTTCAAAATATGAGAGTTGTAAGACATTAATATTGGAAGGAAAAAGGCTGATGTACATGGTTTTCAGAATAAAATGGGGTAAATTTTGAGTTTGTTACTTAAAATAAAAAATTAATTTTTTTAATTAGATAGGCTTCAAAACCATTTAAATTGCTATTGTGTTCCTGCAATCCAAAATTATTTTGAAATTAATCCCTTAAGTTAATAGCAATATTTTAGATCCTCTAATTCTCGCAATCCTTTTTAAATTAATCTCTTTAGTTATTGCTTCTACATTTTATTGAAGGGAGTAATTTCAAAATAAAATTTTAAGAATTAAGGAGTCTAATATTAATTTAATGATTTGATAGATCAATTTCTAATTAACTTCAGAATTGTAGGCCTTAACAACAATTTTCATGATTTGAGGATAATTTCAAAACATGAAATGTTTAAAGACTCATAATGAAAATAATTTTTTAATTAAAGGTTAAAAAAGTGAAGCTTCCGGGTACCGAACGCGGGCCAACTGACAGGCACGACTTTATGAGGGAGGAAAATACCAACTAGGCTACTCAGTAGGTGTGATTTGTTACCTGTCTTCGTTTATATATATCAAACGATTTTACTGTAGCTATGAAAAGACTTTCTACAGTTGTAAACCCAATAACTTTAGTATATATATATAGTTGAATTCACATCATACATTTGCAATTTGAATAGATCTCATATTGACCAAGGCAAATATATGCTAGCTGAAAATCCAATTTTTGTCTTCACTCGACGAACAAAATGCAGCAAGAAAAAGAGGCAATTAGCTTACCATGATAACAAAGCGACTAAACATGTTTGTAGGCCCTGAAGAGAAAGGAACACACAAACAGATAAAATTAATCACAAAATAAGTTAAAAGTCTAAACAAACAAAGAGCTTATTTCAATGTAAGATCACTCATCCTATCAAGTTGTTGTCAAATAGCTAAGTATGTGACTTGTTACACCGTACCTAAGCATAAACCTCCATATTCAATTAATGAGGTCCAGCAATATAATATTCCTCAAAGCTCTAGGCTTCGTAGAAGCCCTTAATGCTGGGTGAAACCAGTGTCATAAAAAGGCAAAAATACAAAGTCAAGCATTGGATCCCTCTATAAGGTGAGGCATAGGACACATGATGAGATTTTCATTCTATAAAATTGTGAAAAGAAAAGCCCAGAGCCAAGACTTTAGCGGTAAATCATAGAAGACACATTTATGTGCGCATTTAGACCAAAGGACACTACTGGAGTATAGAAATTCACATATTTGTCGCTAAGCAGTTATCTTAGTTCCGAGAGGATTCAATTAGTCCAATTGAGGGATTAAATGCAGGGACCGATGAGCATTCCAGTTAGGATGACAGAATATAGCCCAGGGAGCAGCTATAGGATTGACAGAAATGACATGGAATGATGCAGTAGAAGAGGTCACGGTAATTGCCAGTTGGCTGACGTCTGACCTATTTATTCTTACATAAAACCCTGAGTCTTGAGGAAAAGACTACGTTAGTTTGTCATTTTCAAAGGCAAAAATACAAAGTCAAGCATTGGACCCCTCTATAAGGTGAGGCATAGGACACAAGATGAGATTTTCATTCTATAAAATTATGAAAATAAAAGCCCAGAGCCAAGACTTTAGCTGTAAATCATAGAAGAAACATTTATGTGCGCATTTAGACCAAAAGGACACTACTGGAGCATAGAAATTCACATATTTGTCGCTAAGCAGTTATCTTAGTTCCTAGAGGATTCAATTAGTCCAATTGAGGGATTAAATGCAGGGACCGATGAGCATTACAGTTAGGATGACAGAATATAGTCCAGGGAGCAGCTATAGGATTGACAGAAATGACATGGAATGATGCAGGAGAAGAGGTCACGGTAATTGCCAATTGGCTGACGTCTGACCTATTTATTCTTGCATAAAACCCTGAGTCTTGAGGAAAACACTAGTCATTTTCAAAGTAGAATGAGGCAACTAAAGACAATATACATACCTCGACTCCACCAATGCAAAATAGAACCACCAAAAGCACCACAAACCAAGTGGACATAAGTTTGTAAAGTAGAACCAAGAAGCCTGATGCAATTACAACAAATAAGACAGCAGATGTCATGTTGATGTCCACTACACCACCACCACCACCACCACCATTTGTGTATTCCATGTTAACTAAATTGTCCGGGGCATCCTATAACCAATATTTCATTATCAGTTCATAACGGCAATTGATAATACACAGAGACTGAACAAGATCATGAGACACCCTTCCAACAACATGGTGTAGGTAAAAAAAGAAACCTTAAGTAGTTTGTCATGTTCAATTGATGCTTCTCTAGCACTCCACGCTGACCAATAAGATGCACATAATATAGTGCCAACAGCCATAAGCCACAAAAACACCTCCGCAATATCAACGAGAGGACGATCTGGAGAATATAACTGAACCGCAACTGCAGAAGACATAAACCATTGAAAGGGCAAGAAAGTAGAGAATTTGCATACAGATACTACATACAGAAATAGGTAATGTTGGGTACACCCATTCACACATTGAACCATAAACACTAAGAAAAATGGCTGGTCATAACCAAGGTAGCTATGATGCAGGCACTTCTATTGGACAACCCATCGCTCAAAATCGACACCCAAGAATCTTACAAGGAGCTCCAAGTACTGCCTAATAATACACTTGAGCACACATTTATGAAAACACCTCAACTTCTTCAAACTTAAGTGAAAGCAATGTCTCAAAGTAAGTTTAAAAAAGGAAAACTTATAAATAACAGTACAAGTTGAGGCAATGTGAACATCTGCTGCTGGACATGTGTGGAGAGTGGGTAACCACATATTATATATAAATATTACCATAACTATGTGGTATACTTGCTTGTCTGTAGGCCGAATTTACAAAAGACAAGGTATAGAAATCAGTTACTCGACGGAAAAAAAATAAGCAAAACTGCCGAGTAGAACTTCTGAACTTGTATTGAAGCAAGAAAGCCACCACAGGTTCATACTTCATACTTGTTCATAAGGTGTAAATACATAAATAAAATGAGATATTTTAAATTTGCGTATCAAAGATCTTAAAAAGATGATGTTGATAAAGTCTTGAGATTTAGAAACATTTCTTGGAACCAGAAGCATGGGTATATGTGCAGGCTGTAGAAACCTGACCAACTGATGGGTTGATTAAAGTGATATATATCACCGACAAAAGAAAAATAGCAATGACAAAAGAAACAGACACAACAAGATTATATGTAAGACCATGTAAGAGCAAATAGAAAATAAACAGGAGTAAAGAAAGGAAATGAGCGCATGCCCGGAAATAAGATAGAAGGGTACAACTTTGTTATTAAATAACTCAGGGAAAATACCGCCCTAAATGTAGATATTCTTATTGCCAGCTCTTATGAACGGAGCTATGAATTTCCATTTAGAAACTAACAAGTAATAACGAACTAAGAATTTAAATTTGTTTTAGATAACAATAAACTAATAATTAAACTATAATGCCATTCAAGGATAAAATATGAAGCTTAACCAATATCTATGTAGAAAAGTGTTAATGTGTTGAAAAGGTTGATGCTTACAAGGAACTAGGGATGAACCATTTTGATCCAACATTTTAGCCATCATAAACAATCCAAGAAGATTTTATATTTTCTAAATACCAAATACTTCGTCAAAAAGGACTCTAATACTAGTTCGTAGCAGTCTTAGTCTAACTTATCAGCTTGAAGAATGGAGAAAAAGAGTTACCATGATAGTCCAGTGCCTTAAACACTATGGAGCATACAGATATTTACCTGAGTCTCTTTGTCTTATATTTCTCTTCAAGCTTTCACCAGCATCTTCCGGAAGCATAACTGCAGGTATGCCTATATCTACATCTGTGTCATTGCTATCACAAACCATCTTGTATAACTCTGTATAAAAGAAACAAAAAGAAGGCATAAGAAATCAGAAAGTAAAGGAAGCATCAAATCACATAGATGTCAATGCATCAACATGTCCTGTGAGGGGGACCAAAAAAAAGCTTAAGATGCTTAGCAAAGACAGAAGGTAAAAGAAACCGAAAGCACCGTAAAACCAAAAAGAGGGATCTGGTTTCGCCACAACCTAGGTATAGGAACTCCATACACTCGCTGAATTTAAGAGTGAGATGGAACAGTCTCATCCCATATAGTCCACATAGTTAATTAGTTAGTTAGTTAGTTACTAAGAAAGATGAATTTGTTCATTCAATGTTTTGCCACAAGTAGATGATTAATTCTGTAACATTATCTTCTTCCTCCCTTTCTTCTTATTTTGACACTCAGTGGTCATGGCAGTTAAATGATTTGACAGGAAAAATCTTTTTTTAACAGTGCTTTCGGAACTTAATACATCTATTTCTGTCTTGCTTTCTTCCTCTCTTTTTTTCTCCCTAAAATTTTCCTCCACCAGTTCTTAGAGCAAATTGTGACCATGAGCATTATGTACCCATCGAGACTGTGAACAAAGTTTGAACAGGAGGGGTTTGTTAAAAGTTTATAGACAGAGAGAACAAAAAGGTGATGAAATGTTTATAATGCATGATTCCATTCTCTATTACTAGTTTGCATGTTTAATTTTGAACTTGACTAATTGTATGACTGAAACCAAAAAAAATACATGTACACACAGATTGAACAAATAGAGATTCTTGATTGCTTTAAAGTGATGCTTTATAATGATAAAAAACAAAGAAAAAGAACTAGTTTTCTGCATTCAAGAAGTTAAAGTAGAATATAATTTCTTCTGTAACTCACAGGCGTTCGTTTTTGTTTCAGTTGGGGATAAATTTTCCAAAGGTGCTATACCTTTAGTAGTCTGTTCAGTTACAGCAAAGTTAATAGGAAAAAATCCTAAATCTTCTAAATGAGGAATTATGCTAAAAGTACGTAAGAGATTGTTGACACATGATCTATGGGACAAGTGGCATGTTGCTCTCAGTTAGAAGCTTGAGGGCGTTAAAAGATCCTAAGCATGAGATTGTAATCGAATCGCACAACAAAAAATTGAACTGAATCAGAATATGGAACTATCATTAAAACAGCACAATTCAGGAGGAATGAGAAGGCGTCGCTCAAACTCATCAAAGTAAAGGTTTCTAAGTAGCAGGCATTATGATATGAACAGAACCAAAAGCAAATGAGGTAGAGAAACAAAAAGCAGCATCTTATAGAATAAAGTATAAGCAACCATGACCTCTCTCTCTCTCTCTCTCTCTCTCTCTCTCTCTCTCTCTCTCTCTCTCTCTCTCTCTCTCTCTCTCTCTCTCTCTCTCTCTCTCTCTCTGAAGTTCAGAATTGATCCAAGTATACATATGAACAGTAGGTTTACCAATACATAAGATTAAACAGGAAGAAAATAAGAACCAGAGGGGAAAAAGAGAGAACAGATACCTTTGTAGTAGTTTACGATTAAAAGAGCAGATGCTCCAGCAGCTTCTGCAACTTTTGCTTTAATTGTAAATTTGCAGCCACCTCGATCAACAAGTAGGATGTCTCCAGCAAGCTACAAAAATAAGTATACGTTTCAGTAACGGTATATGAAAATAGAAGCTTGCATTGTAACAAAAACAATGAAAACTAAATAACATAACCTTATTCTTAGGTGTAGTGCAGCAGTCGGAAGGATCTGCAAGGACAAGTCGAGTGCGGTTGGCATACTTTTCTTTTGATTCCATTTGTTTCCCAAATCGAGCACTAACACCGACAAATTCATTACTTTCTATTTTATTAATCCAAGTTTGGACTTTTACCTAGAAGACATTCGATGATAAATGACAATTGTTACTGACTGAAAGAAGACATACAACTAAGAAAAAAAAGGTATTAGAATACAAGTACAAAGAAGAATAAAAAACATTATGCTTGATAACTGGAACAAGGAAAAGACATGATGTGCTCCTTATGAAAATTTGCAAGATAGAAAAGTAAATTATGACGGTCATTAGAATAGAAGTGCAAAAACAAAAACAAAAACAAACAAATGCAATAAAATAATAACTTTTAGAACCTTAATCATACAAGTATATAGTAGAGCAGAGCTTCTTTATAATATTTTTGCACAGCTTGGAGTAAGGGTAGTCACTTCGAACTCAAGCTCTTCAGCTCTTATAAGTCATAAAGTTGCCAATGCTTGTCCTGAGATTTTTATTTACACTATGAAATGATAATGTTACGTGCAGAGCTGCGAAAATTTAAGTCTCCGCATTTTGGTAGAGAGCAAAACATTTGTACTTTATATATTATATCATTTCATTGTGTTAAGTTGGACTTATAAGGGAAGTGTATCCATGTGCAATAACCCATGGAAGCCAAATTGGATTTGTAGATCCGAGAAAGATATTAACTGGGCACCTCAGACATGTTCATAGTGCTCAAGGGGTATAAATGCCCTGACTCATGGTTCGCATGTCAATTACTCCAATAATTCCTCTTAGTCAAAGTCTCTGCCACTGCACCAAACTCAAACATGCTCTCGCAAATTGAGCGCCCAATTTATAAACTAAAACCTAGACTCATGCAGCAATATCAACTTTTCAAAGACCCGCTTTAAATTTGTGGGCCATGGGATTTGAACCTAGGTTGTTCTGATACCATGTCCAAGTCTCCGCCACTGAGTGTCAACCAAACCTCCAAAGCTGTAGTGAGGGTTGAGAATTATAGTTATATTCTAACACTCATCTTCAGTCTACATATTTCACAAAACAACATAAAGAATAACACAAAAGCAGAAACAATATCCACAGATATCCAATGCACAAATATGTCTCTGTTTTGATGTCCTCTATCTACATCTCAAATTCAAACCCACTACGAACAGAACTCTTGACACGCTGAGGCAACCGAGTACCACTTTCCAAAGCTACCAAATGTATCATCTTAAGAACAGTGCACCACCCCCATCTCCTTGATCCTTTAAATTAGTAGAGTCTTTTAATTTCTTGAATTTTAGAGTTTCATCATCTTGAATACACTCAGTAACTAGCACCTCATCCAGTATATCGAAAAATGAGGTCAGCAAATCTCGAGACAACCGTAAAACACATCACAAAATGGGGACTCTCTCTTCAGGCAAAGATTCAAATAAAAAAAATACTGCCCTCAAATACCTCTGACTGAACTTCCTTCGATTATTTCAATCTCCAAGATATCAACAGAGCAATAAATCACAGCATAAATTACAAATCATAGTAAAATAAGCTTAGCCAACAAAAAATTCAACTGGGTTTGACTAATTTTACTATTGGCACCAATCAAGCAACAATCTTTCCGCCAACCCACAAATGTACGGACAATCACAGCCTAAAATAAAATCGAAAGACAAGAAATTTATCCAAAAAAAACAAAAAAAAGGAGAAGAAATTACCAGGACAAAATCATTTGAGCAGCCCGGGGCCTTCGGAGTCTTGTCATCTTTGTGAACTATGTCGCCTCCGGAGGACAGAACGGGAAGAAGCAGAGTAAAAATTACTACCCAAAATGCCCCCATAAATTTTCTCCCACCCATTAGAGAGAGCTTCAAGCGAGAGAGGCTTGGTTCTCTTGCCGCTGATCTTCCCCCTTTTCGTTCGCGTGGATTTTGAGGGGTAAAATTGGAAAAGAAAAGTAAAACTAAAAGAAAGCGCCGGCAACGGTACGGGCTGAAAGGAATGAGTGGGGCCGTAAGAAAAATCTTGTGGGGATTGAAGGTCAATTCTGTAACTGCACACGGACTTCACTTCTTCATTTGTTTGAAGGGCTCCTTTTTCATATATAACCTCCAACTTATTGATATTATTAAAATCATCCGATATATCATTATTACTACTTATTATTGCCCTCTACATTCTAGTCTAACCTTTAAATTTCATTAAAGAATAAAAGTGGAATATAGTAAATTAAAAGTGAGTGTCGCTTCACGGGTAACTAGATTAGGTTCTTTTTGGAAAAAAAAATGTTTAGGATACTTAATGAAGCTAATTAGATATAAATATCCTTAGTTTTTTTAATATTGTTAATATCCATTGATATACCATTTGAGGACCAAAATAAAAAATATTATAATAATGTGCAATATTATAATTTTTTAAGATTTATATTTTAATTAATTTAACTATGGAAAATTTACTCCTTTTCGCAAATTAATCAATTGAACAGAAAACTTTAATTTTATCCTAGAGTGAGCATGAAATTAAAGGATGGCTATAGTCTGAAGGGTAAAATAGGAACTACGTGAGTTTAAAAAGTAATTATAAGATTATCAATAATGTGGAGGGTGTATATGAAAAATAGCCCTTGTCTGAACTATGGAGATCGATCCATGAGAGGACTCGTCTTTTGTCGTGGTGGGTAGGATGTTTGTTTCAGGATTCATTGAACAGTAACAAGACTTTTGTAAGGCCTTTTGGACGAGTTGGATAAGATGCAAGGGGAGGGGTGAGAATGCAATTAGCCTTTCTGCCCAACAATTTTTGTAAAGGAAGTAGGGAGATTAAAAGCTTCTATGTTTGCAAAAAGTGGATTAAAATTTTGAGGAAAACCCAGTGCGCGTAGCGTTCGATGGCTTAGGAATGCACTAATATACTGTCAAAGTCTTCCGAGTTCTTGGTTTGATCACGCGTGTCTAATTTGGAGTGAGGAAATGGAAGATGAGACTTGCACATCGATCCGGAGTTTACTAAGTAGGATCGAACATCAAATTAGGGCTTCGCCGCTTCGGCATGCGAATCCTCCTGCCTTACCAAGGTTCGGGGGGAAAAAAGATCATAACTGCTATATCCTAAGAATTACTTAGTGTTAATCCTCAATGGGGAGCCGACACGTGTCCCCACCATCAGCACTCGACCATTCCTAGTCTAGGGCCCAGTCGAAGGGCATCCTCACTCGACCAATCACTTCTTTTCGCTCTATGGGGCTGAGCTGACAACCTTCGAGGCTAACTAAAAAGGCGTTACTTATCGGCCCACTTGCAAGACTGACATGAAAGGCGCCATTTGTCGACCCTCTCATGCAGCTGAGTCAAAAAGAGGTATATCCTTGGGCCTCCCACCAACAGTCGATTACCATCACATTAATTAAATAATCAGAGTCATCATTTCTCCAGCTCCGAAAGTCTTTATGACTCATTGGACCTCATTAATTAGCACCACGCATACTCTGCCACCTTTATATTAAACGCCTGGGTGACTCATCTCCCTATGCAGTTGACGCCTGTAAAGTAGATGATGATTGAGCCGCCTACTTGACTCGGCCAAAGTTAACCATCTACCCTTTGAATTTTCTATAAAATGAAGTTGTTGTCTGCTGCTGAGGGTAAGCAATATCTTGCTAAAGAATACAATATTGCTATACTTCTTCCCTGCTCAAGCTTTTTACTGACTTGTTCAAAGCCTAACTATCTAGAGGAGATTGAAGACTCTAAACTCCCCACATAATCCACATACAACCCCTTGTTAGATAACTGACATCAACAAATTGGCGACCACCGTGGGGTTGTTCCTTCTTCTTTACATAAGATGACTAGTTCTGATCACCCTGGCCGATCCTCTAACCCTTCTACTAATGACCAACACATGGGCTATGTCACTCAAGTCAGTCAAAGGATTTCTCAATCTTTCCAACAGCAGTTCGATTCCTTCATGAATGAGTTCCTCAACTGGATTCCTCCTCAGTAGCCCTCCATTGTTTGCTCCTCCTCCTTCCTCTCCTGCGGGTCAGGCCGAGCAGCAACTGCATGAAGACTACGCTGAGCACACCTCTCCTCCACCTTGCCAACAAGCTCGCTTTGCCCTTTCGACTCAACAGACCCAACCGTATGAGGAGGCAGTAGGAAAGAGGCCCAGCTACAGCCATGGTGGCCATGAGCAAACCACATGAACGGTTGCACGTGGCCCTAAATACCCTTATGCTACTCAGGGTCCTTCCACCACCAATCCAGTGTCTTGTTACGATCGGACATTCAATATTGTCACCGAGGTCATCGAAGGAAATACTCTTCTCGCCGACTGGATAATAAATGCTCCCTCCACCAAATTCAAGATACCTCATATTTAGAAATACAAAGGCGAGGGGGATCCAGCGGAGCATGCGTAGAACTTCTATGCCTTTGATGAAAATGCAACAAGTGTCAGAGCCAATCATCTGCAGAGCTTTTCCTATCACCCTGACAAGAAGTGCAAAGATGTGGTGGAACTCTCTAGACAAGAAGTCCATCCATGGTTTTGAGCAGCTCAGTCTAAAAATTATACACCACTTTATGGCTGATTCTAAATAGAAGAATCCCTCCTATGTCCTACTACAGATGATACAAAAGCCTTGGGAAAGACTTATGGACTACTTTAGCCAAACCTAGAAGCTGGAAGTCGATGACCCTGGCAACATGGTTGCCATGGCCACAATCTCAGCAGGACTACAAAACAACAAATTGGCCAACTCGCTCATTATAGACCGAGTCACTAACTATGAACAATTGATAGAGCACGATGATACATGGAAATGAAAGAAGTTAGAGTCCATAAGAAGGTGACTAGAGAAGCAGAAGCAACAACAGTGGCAGCGGAATCCCCCAGAACTAACTCCACGCCAAGTAGGGCCGACAAGAGGGACCAAAGGAGAGAAGCGGACAAGAAGCCATCCCTCACTACCCTCAACACCTCTCTCACGAAAGCCCTTTACATGGTACGAAAAGAAGGATATGTGAATTGCACTCCTCCCTGCATGAAGTCGGACCCTCGATCTAGAGACACTAGGCAGTATTGTCGATACCATCAAGATCACGCTATCATACTAATGATTGTTGAGTCCTCCGGAGAGATATTAAAAACTTAATACAAAAGGGATTCTTGAAGAGACTTATCTCTTAGCGGGATAGGAGAGAACCCCCTCCAAGGAAGTCCAACATGAAGTCTCGATCCAAATCGCCTGATTCCCAACATCAACAAGATACGCAACTTGCAGAGATCGGCAGTCAGGGCACCATCAACACTATCAATGGTGGCCCAACGACGGGAGGAATGTCCAATAACACTCAAAACAAGTATGTCAAACGAGCGTTGGATGTCAACTAATGTGAGAAGAAGCCAAGGACATACCAGCTCATCTCCTTCAATAACGCTAATTTGAAAGACATTGAGATGACTTACGACAACCCTCTCATCATATTCGCCGAGAGCAATGGCTTTTGGGTCAAAAGGATTTTAGTCGACATAGGGAGCTCCAATGATATCCTATTCATTGACTTCTTTAACCAGATGGGCATCGACAAATCCAAGCTCCAGCCATGTCGAAGTCCCCTCATTGGATTCACAAGACATTCACTCCTGCCAGAGAGGATGATCACTCTCCCCCTAATGGTCGGCGAGTACCCTCGTCAATCCACTGTTCAAATGTGGTTTTTAGTGATGAACATTAAGTCTGCTTACAACATTATTCTTGGGAGAACTTTCCTGAATATCCTACAGGCGGTCCCATCCACTTACCACCAAATAGTAAAGTTTTCGACCCCAGAAGTGAAAGTACCGTAGAGGGGGTGAATAGGATATTTGCTAATCTAATCTGAATACGATGCCAAAATAAAAACTTATTAACTAATTATCCTAGCAAGAATGATATTCAAAAGAATTATATGCAAGGATGAACAATATGACAATAGGCGATATAAACAATGAGCACAAGATATAAGAGAAATATACGCCAATGCCAAACACAAACATAAAAAAATGATCATGGAGTTTGGTCAACCCACAACCTACGTCTCCGCTCCTCACCCTCGAGGAGATTCTCTACTAATCACAAAATAAACTACACAATCGGTTTTCTAGCTCACCGAAAACTTTTATAATAACACATGATTGTTAATACCATAAGACACTCCTCTAAGTGTTGGTCTACCCGTGTCATCTTCTTCAAGTGCTTGAATTTACTACCTCTCCTTAGGTTTTACAACCAATGTCACTCCTCTTGGAATTGACCATGGTATCTCAAGAGGAATTGACCACGGTCTCTCCCAACCACTTCTCTAAGTATCCTTATGTATTACAATGTGTTCTCCACAATTAGTTCTCAAATAAATGATTTGTTCTCCAACAAGAATGAGAACGAAATTGAAAGATCACTCAATGATCAGTTGATCACACCCATAACCCAAGTATATAATATGTGAAAATAGTTAAGCTCAATGGTTATGTGTGAAACAATAAATAAAATAGATTAAACTTAAATCAATCTAGCATAAATATATGAGAAACAAAATAATAAAAAGCTAGATGAAGAGTTTAGAAAACTTCTCCAAACAAGAGATGAAGATGTTGAGGATGAAAGCCTCAAACTTCAAATTTGATTCCTTCTCTTGTGAAACTATCTTCACATAAACCACAAACTAAACTTTTTTTGAAAACGCTTAAACAAACTTACAAAACTTTGTTTTAAACTTTTCTTAGTTTTTGTGCAAGTATTGAGGACTGAGGGGTATATATATGTTCTTAAAACAAAACCCCAAAACCAAAGAAAAATCCTCAAACCAACAAAATCCCTAAAAATTAGGAAAAATTGGAAATAGTCATTACAATGTCGTCGGTCGACTGATGCACTATTCAGTCGACTAA